ATACATTGTATGTCTCTTGGTAGGCCAATCCTTGCCATAGTTGATTATAGATTACATACGAATCATGCTATTATTGATAATTGTGTACTCGTCGTGAATGTATATTTGCTGAAAACTAAATGTATTCCATTGCTAATTAATCTGAGTTACGCCAATACATAGATTTTAACTCGATAAAATTGTTAAAAAGATATAGCGAGAAAAAAAGATAAACGAGAGAAAAACAAGACAAGGTGGATTACTTTAGTTTTAAGCGAATTTTCCGCATGCCCTTCTGCATAGCAATATAAATAAGCATTTTTGGCTATTAATTTTTAACTCGTTAAATGTGAACTCTCGAAGTCGTGTAAAAGTAAGATGTAACGGTTGTAATTATAATTGTACTTGCCTTTTAATATACTTCAATCATCATGCCTAGATGACAATTAACAACATTGACAACATGGATTCTTTCTCTCCGCTAATCGATTATCAGCGATTATGATGCAACGTATTGGAAAATCACGTAAAACTTTCGGCAGTGTGTTTTCGTTCTTTGTGGCTTTTTGGATCGAACGAAAGGTGGAGCAAATTGTGAAGAATTATATAAAGCGTGTAATTAGGATGTTATATCCTGCGGCGGTGTAGAACTTTGAGGCCTTAAGGACGGTTCAAAAAAAAAAGTCGATATCATAATGCTTCATTTTTAATGTGTACATTTCCATAATGTACGTCATATTTTTCGACCTGTATTTGCATTGTGTGAAAGAGAGAGAAATTTTATATCTAGTCAGTTCTTCGTATTTGATCTATTATTTTTCCGCATAACGAAAACGAAGATATAAATGTTTCAGTCCAAACTTTACACTCTCATCGTTTTCTTTTTATTTATCAATAAATAAAAATGAATTTTTTTTGTAGTACACATTCGTCGCAATACATTCGTGCATTTACAGTCAAGTGTGTCGGAGCATCATGCTTATTGCTGAGCTTTTGTATAATAAGTACGATATATTCTCAACAGCTGACCGATATTTTATGTATATAACTCAAACCTAGAGATATTGTATTTCCTTCCGAGCAGTTGTGAACGAGTGAACTGAAAAATTGAAATGATTAATAAATATCTCGTGAGAAGTATCAGTGGCACGTGGCAATCGGAATGAAATATCCCTTTCATCCGTAAGATTCATTTATTGTGTTGAAAGTTTCAAACTCTCTGTATCTTTCCGCAAAACATATTCTTGTCTGTCTTGTGTGTATACGCGCGTACGTATGTAAAACTTAGATATAAAATTGCTTAAATGTATACTCGTATCTCTTTCGAAGTGCTATTCGACGTGTTATGAATTCAGGAGCTGCAATTTTTAAGGGTAGTAGAAATAGAAGTTTTTTTTTCATTATTGAAAATAAATTACTAAAAATTTTAATGTGATTATATATTAGAAAAATCTCAAAGTTTTATATGCACTTCGCAACCAATGTGTTAAACAATTCTGGATAAATTATTCCATAATTCGAAATGATTTAGCACATATGGACCACATAAAATTTCGTTATACATAGTTATATCAAGTTCATGAGAAATTAATAAGAATCATACGAATCAATATCCTAATTCGCCCAATTGTATATATGCTTAGAGGAAAATGTATACTATTTACTTCTACAGATTTGTGTTTCGACAGCTTGTGTAGGAATGCGGAAACACTTGAGCGCTGCCACAAAAGCGTCCATTTCATCACCCATTTTGTTTTACAATATCGTGCTTTGCACCTATTATTTGTACCTTGATTCGACACGTTAGTGGGCAAATTAAGGCATCGATAAAGAGCGTTACGATATTATAAAAATAAACTTTTATTACCTATTATGAAAATAAACGAGCGATGAAATGGAAATGTTGTGATCTGTGGCAGCGCTAATGTATTTCCAAGATTGCGCACAAGCTATCGGAACAGCCGAAATAGTAGGGTCATGGGGGGTATGTATGCAAAATCGCTGTGAAAAACGAGTGAATTTATAAATGTAAAAACCGCACTGCGAATAATTGTGATCCGTACCTCAGTCCTGTATATCGCGATGAAAAGTCTGCGAGACAAGTTCCAACAGTTCGGAGCTCGCTAAATACACGTTTACTTCTTCTTTTTCCGCGGTTTGTCTTGAGGCGCCGGCAGATTCTCCTGCTTCCGTTTTGAGGCCGGTTTCGTTCCTATACTGCCCTTCTTCCTCCTCTCCTGTCTCTCGCGTTCCTCCAGCTCCTGGTTCTCGCGTTCGATCAGGGTGATGAGGGTGTTGCAGCGACGCTGCAGCTCGAGCGCGGTGCGCGATTTGACGAACCAATCGAAGCGGAACTGCGGCGCCGATCTCACGGTGGCCCGCAGCTCCTCGTACACGTTCTCCTTGTCGAATCCGAGCTTGTGGAGCATGCAAACGAGAAATCGGTCCTCCTCCTCGGTGTAGTTCTTACCTTTGTTCGTGCCATACGCTATCCTGAGCTGGTGGAAGGGCGCGCGGTATCTCGCCATCTTTGCATCCAGTGCCTTCTTGATGCCGGCGCGCCTCTGTATTTTAGCCTCGCCGCGCTCTATCTGCGCCATCACGCGATCGATGTCTTGCAGCTCGTGGCAACGTTCCCAGAATACAGCCGAATACTCCACGACCTCTTCCGGCGTTTTACCTTCCACCTCCTTCGCGATATTCTCGATGTCATCGCGACCGTACTTCTCGTTCGCCTTGATAAACTGATTAAAGTCCCGTTTGGTCCAGTTGGTGAAGCCCTGCAGCAGCAGTCGCTCCTTCTCGACGACCTCCTCGTCGGTGAGCGGCTGTGCGTCGTCGATCTTGCGTTGCTCCTCTTTCTGAATTCGCGCCGCGTCCGAACCGAGCTCGGGATTCTTCGGCACCTTGTAGCCGACGGTCTGTCGGAAGTAGTAAATTTCTTGATCCAGCAGCTCGAACAACCGCGGCGGAAAGAATTGAAAGTCTTGCACTATCGGCTGTTTCGGTGGTCTCGGTGCTTTCGGGGCTTTCGGCTCGGATACTCTCAACGCCTCTCGGAAGTACGCGTCCACTGCGTAATTGGCCTTACGCTCGCGCTTCGGCGGCTCTATCCAATTGCCGATCCCGAGGATCTTTTGCTTCTCGCGGTAATCCTCACCCTCGAACTGATACACCGAGTCCGTCGGCGCGTCGACGGTGAAATTGCGCAACGACGACTCCCCCAGGCTCTCGAGTTTCTGTTTCATCTCCTCCGTTTTCGCCTCGCCCTTTTCCAATATGGTGTCTATGTCTTCGTCGGTGATCGCGCTGTCCTTGGACGCGAATACCTCGTTCGCGCCGTGCCTGATCATATTGAGCATCTCGTCTTTGTTCAACGCCGTCTGCTTGGCGTCGACCAGCCGTCCCTGTTGAATGACGAGCTTGTCCAGCCGCAACTTCACTTCCGCTCGCTCGACGATCTTCTCCTCCACCGTGTTCTCCGTGATAAACCTGAAAACCCGCACTTGTTTCTGCTGGCCTATACGATGCGCGCGGTCCATCGCCTGCAGATCCATTTGTGGATTCCAATCGGAATCGTAAATGATGACCACGTCGGCGGTCGCCAGATTGATACCGAGACCGCCCGCGCGGGTTGACAGCATGAAGATGAACTTCTCGCTGCCGGGCGCGTTATATTCGTTGATCTGCCGTTGCCGATCCTCGTGCGCTGTGTTACCGTCCAGCCGGCAATACTGGAAGCACCGCCAGTGACAGTAATCTTCCAAGATGTCTAGCATTCTTGTCATCTGACTGAAGATCAGCACACGGGACTCCTGCTGCTGCAGCTTCGGCAATAATTTGTCGAGTATCACCATCTTGCCGCAGTTGTAGACAAGATGCTCGTCGGTGGTGTACGGCGGTCCGGGCTCGGCGCCGTCGAATAAATACGGATGGTTGCAGCACTTGCGCAACTGCATGAGGATGTTTTGCAATCTCATCTTCTCTATCTTGCCCGCGCCGTTCACGATATCTATATCCTTCATTAGTACTTTGGTATACCATTCTCGTTGCATTTTACTCAAGCCAATGTATACTTTGATCTCCTTCTTAGGTTTCAGCCCTTTTTCCACCTCAGACTTCAAGCGCCTCAATAAAAACGGTCTCAGGACTGCGTGTAACCTCTCGACCAGAGAATTGTCGCCTAAAAAGCTATTCGTGTTAAACCACGAGTCGAAATCGTCGGAACTGTTGAATACATCCGGTAGGAGAAAATTCAGCAGGGACCACAGCTCGTGAAGATTATTTTGCAGTGGCGTGCCTGTCAACAAGAGCCGATTAGTGGTCTTGAATTCCCTGAGTATCTCCGACAGCTTGGACTTTTCGTTCTTTATTCTGTGCGCCTCGTCTATCACCATGTAGCGCCAGTTGAACTTCTTGAACACCGATTTCTCTTTGATAACCATCTCGTAAGACGTCACGCATACGTCCCACTCGCCAGGCATCATTACATCTCTGATGAAGGTGTTTCTGGTCTCTGCGTCACCAATGAGACAGACAGCTCTCAAGCTGGGACACCATTTCTTAAACTCGTTCATCCAATTGGCTAGCGTGGATTTTGGCACAATGACGATATGCGGACCAGGAATGTTGCGAAAATGTTTCATGTAGCCAAGCAAAGAGATGGTCTGCAGTGTCTTGCCGAGACCCATCTCGTCTGCTAGAATGCCGTTTATACCATGCTCGTACAGCGATATCATCCAATTCAAACCGCGTATCTGGTAATCGCGCAACTCTCCAGACTTGATGTAATGCGGCGATGATTCAAAACGTGTAGTGGGCGCTACGCTAGCGTTGCTCTCGGCTAACAGTTCCTCATCTTCCTCCTGCTCGGTCTTACGATGTCTGTGATCGCCAGAGTCTAATTTGGGAATCTCCGGGGGCTGCTTCCTGGGTCGACCAGGTCTGATTTTCAGTGGACTGCCGGCTTTGTCTTTCTGATTATTTGTCATAAAATGCGAGAATATCTCGGTCTGCTTTAGTAAATAGTCGAACCGCTTGCTTCGATCCGTTTCGAGTTTCGTTTCGAAGTCGCCTCCTCGTGACGACGTGGTCTCCGCCGAGGAAGCGTTCGAGTTATCCCCGGTGTCGCCGGTGTCGGCATTCTCATCCGGCTTCGACATCTTGCACCTGTCCCTGATATGTGTCGTGCAACGTTTCCTTTCCGAGTCAAAACTTTACCGACCGTTACTTTGCAGCGGCGTGCCTGTCAACAGAAGCGAATTAATGAACTTGAATTCGGAGAATTTCCAAGCGGAACATATGTATCACTTACAAATATGCACTAATGACCACTCGCTGGCCTGTCACGGTCGTCGGCGCAGCATCGAAAATGATCGAACGTATCGCAACCACTGTGTCCGACCGCATCAAACACCGCTGCACACCGCCATATTCCGCTATGCGCGACGATCCCTCCAAAATCTTTAAAATAACTAGAATTACAACGCTTACACACAGCAGCAAACCGGCGCGATACAGCCAATCGTGTACAACTGTCCATTTATCATTTCCGGAAAATAGAAGAATTGATTACCCTATAAGACACGCGTTGTTATCTTCTTACGTTGTAAATATTATATTCTGATATTTAATTTAATTCAGTTAATCTGCCAAAGGACCTGAAACCGCAACGTTCAAGTCTGCGCTTCGTTCTGCTCAATGCAGCCAATAACTAAACCATCGAAAACTCCAACTAATACTCTAGTTACATTTGAAATAAGGGTATATCCATATGAGTATGCATAAAGAAAATGAGCCAATTATTAATCTAATATAAAGAATGTAATTTATGTGGACATACTTTAAAAGTAATTTGCAATTGACAAATAAAATTGATTGGTAAGCCTGAAAATGTACACCAATAAGATTGCTTAGGGACATAAACTTTTTTTTTATTGTCTGGTTGGAGCTAGAACACATTGTTGTGGCTGCTTTCGAGTATTCGAACAACTTCTTTGATTCCGAGAAATTAGTCGATTTCATATTAAAATGGCAAAACATATAGATTCTTTACAGCCTGGAATTAAAATTGAGTATGTGAAATAATTAATTAATTTACAATGAACTTAGATGACTGTGCAAAGGTATATTATTATCGTATTTATTTCAGTGATCTGATGCACGAGGATGGAATTACCTTTGAAATTGGAGGACAGTATCAGGATGATGACGATGAAGAATTCGCATATTCCCCAACTGTACAGTTCAGCAATGATGAGATGTTGGATATGTTAAATATGAATGATTTCGAGGATGAAGAGGATGGAGATAATGAAAAGGAGACTGTAACCATTTATGGTATAAGTTTTGAAAAGCTAAAAACAAAAATGAAAGCCATAACTGCAGATAAAAAAGTAAATAGAATTTTATATCTCACATAACTTAATAAATTGAAAAAATTTAATATACGTAAAAAGCATAAATATAATTTTAATGAATATAAAACTATACCCTCAGGTTATGAAGTATATCAAGCAGAAAGGTGTTGGAGAAGTTGTACCGCACAATGCTCAAGTTACTATTCATTATATTGGATATTTTGAACATAGAGATGAGCCCTTTGATTCTACTTATATTTCTGGGAGACCAAAGATAATGCGTGTAGGCCAAAATTGTCTCATACCTGGTTTAGAGCTTGGTATACTTAGTATGAAGAAGCATGAAATAGCAATGTTTTTGATACATCCTGATCTTGCTTATAAAGCTCTTGGTTGTCCGCCACGTATCCCACCTAATGAGGAAGTAGTATTTATTGTGCATTTGATTGACATTCTCGATGATGGTTCTGCAGACACATATGAGAATCTTAGTATAGAGGAAAAACAGTCTTTTGAATATGTAGTACAGTCTGTAAAACATATGCTTGTAGCTGCTAAAGATTACTTTTCCAAACTTAATATGAAACGAGCAATACGTGAGTAAGTAATAAACTATTATTAGAATTAGAATTATTAGAGTAATAGAGTAATAGAGATTCTACAGTTGTATGACTATATTTTTATAATGTATTTTTCTTTGTAGATATAAAAAAGCTATTGATTCTCTGGAAAGAGTAAAATTGAAAGATATTGAGGAAGAAACAGAAATGAATTCACTACTCTCACAAGCCTATACTAATCTTGCAATTTGTTATAACAAATTAGACATGCCGCATAATACTTGCATGGCTTGCGTTCGAGCGCCGGCACCAACTGTTAAAACTCATTATCAGTAAGCAATATTATTAGCTAATACTTGGTTCCTACAATTATATATGAATTACATTAATGTAATGTAACAAAATTTTTTTTTTCATGTATCTAGTCATGGAAAGGCTTTGACGACTCTTGGAGAATATGAAAAAGCAAAGACCGAATTGATTATAGCTCATTCAATGCAGCCTAACAATGAAAGTGTTAGAAGAGCAATTCAAGAAGTGAGTTAAACATGTTTTAAAAAAAATTATTTTTTTAATGATAAAATATTTTTTTTTTTTTCTATATGTACAGACAAATGCGAAAGAACGACAGTACCTGGAAATTCAGAAACGCTTGTGGTCAAATTGTTTCAAGTACCAAGACAGAGAAACAAAAGTTACTGGATTCCGACAAGCTTTGCGTGAATTATGCGAATCGATTATTAATAATAGTGGCATAACGAGACAAGTTATTCCTGAAGGCTTCACGGACAAAGAGATGGAAATCGTACGTGAAGAAGCCGCTCTATTTGGATTAGATATTGTTACGTGTAAAAGATATAGCAAGAACCAAGTTTATCTTCAAAAACGCAATTTTTAATTGGACTTCTCTTCATTGAACTTGCAACGTCAGAAAAAAATCTTTAATATACGTCTGGTGCTATAAGTTTATAATATAAAAATTCTTTTTCAGTCAATTTTTTTGGTCTTTTAAGTTTATTTCTTAATTTGTATCGAGCGTGTTCACTGTGACTAAGAAACTGTAACAAAAAAATAGTGAACATGTTACAAAGTTGTGTTGTTTTTGTTCCTAAAATTATTAGGAATAGGATGATTATTAGAGTTGATACGGACAATAGCAGAGTGTATTATATTTTTCTTGAACAATTCTAATGTAGTTCAATGAAAAGTATATCTCAAAGAATACGAGTGTAGAGCAATAACGAATCTAGCCAATAAGGTAGCATTGCGATGTAATACTTTGATGATAATACATTTTTTTATATTTTAATTTTTAAAGCTATTGTTTTTTCTATATTTTACCGATCTTAAAAGAGGATGGAATAAAAAGATATATAGAACTAAGTTAATTTCTATGAGATGTACAATGTTTAAATGCATTTAAATTAAATAAATCTCAGAAATAAATTTGTCATGTATAGAGAAAATAAGGTCTATTGAAGGGAAAATAATTTGATTTAAATAAATAATGTACAATTTATGTTGATTATATCTTTTTACGTTATAGTTATTTCTGAAACAGTTTTTGGCAAAAGCGCTTTCAGGAATAGATGAATAAATGCTTGTTCATTAAAAGAAAACAAGCTTTGCTGTAGCTTCGAATATTTCGCGCAGTCTCTCACACGAAGCTATCATTAGCGTTTCCCGGACGACGAGAACGTCACTAAAGCATAACAATAAAAGTGTTGGAACAACGTGTGAGAATGTCTGTCGAGCAGCCGCTGTTCGGTCGAGAGATCGTGGTGCCGGCCAATCTGCCGATGATCCTGAAGCAATTCTGCAAAGCCGCGATCCGTACGCAGCCCTACGATCTGCTCAAATGGTCCAGTTCGTACTTCCGCGCGTTAGCCGACGGCGAGGAGCCGCCGGCCAAGTTGCGACTCGAATATCCGCCACCGAGCACGGCGTCCGGTTTAACTTTGGGCTTTCTCCGAGTACTACTTCGACAATTTGGAAGTGCGATTGCGAAGTTGCAAAAAATCCATCTCGACGATTTTTCATCCGTACAGTCATAATTTTTTTCCCCTTTTTAGATTACAACAAGACACTACCCATTGAAACAATTCTGCATCGCTGGGATTGTCTCTGCTTGGATCGCAAGGATTTTGACACAATTGTAACGGTCGGTGGATTTCGTCGCAGCTGTCAGGTGAAGAGATTCCTTGCTGTAGCGGTAGGTCTTCTAGGCGCTAATCTCACTGAGACGATGATCATGATTTGCCAATTGTTCACGCACGAGCCGGACGGAGGATCCGCGATGATCCCGCTTACTTTGTTTATGGAGATATACGAGTAAGTTCGACGTAAATTTTTCATAGAGCCAGTTATTAATCGCAATCTACGAAACAAATAGATATTTAGCGGCACTCACGTGCGACGGTAGCGAGAACAATGCGCATTATCAGGATACAACCGAACGTACGGTCTGTAAAGATAGTTCCGTCGATCGCACTTGCTCCATAACTAGTCAGGATACCGACGTGGACGTTAATTTGGATTCCGAATTAATCTCCAAGGATGAAATTGATTTGTCGAAGAGTACGTTTTGCATTATTACCAGCTACGTTTTTGTTAAATTCAATTCGTACTTTAATTTATACTCATTTTCCTTCTTTTACAGTTGATTTATCGATGGAAGTGACAGTGAGCAGTTCCTACGAAAAAGAAATCATTAGTCGAGAAGAGGAAAAGGAAAATAAAGAATGCACGAATAAAGATTGTACAATCGGTGAGAAATTTTGCGGAGTGAAAGACGCCAATAGCGACGGAAGTGCATTCGCCGAAGTGGAAAAAGATACGAAAACTGTGTGCTGTCGGAATGTGCCAGGTAACCAGATGTTTTTATATCTCATTTATCGTTAATCATCTCTTGTCGAAATCTGATTGAAACCGGAAACTAAAATGCAGGTATTGGACCTCGTTTGCCAGCCGAGCGAATTACGAATGTAATCGCATGGATGCTCGAATGCGCGAAGCTTCAAGAAGGCATGGTTGGACCGCGCAACATCCGACACACGAATTGTCCGTCTTTGCACAGACGATCATCGACGTCAGAGTTGTGATAACATTTGACCAGAATTGATTCGCAATAATACGAAAAATGTACTCGCGACTAGAAACATTGTATATAACTCGCACGACTGCGTCTTCGATTTTCAGATACAACGTATTTATCACACAGCTCTAATATTTCGATATATAATTAAACCTTTTATTAAAATGCGATTATAAAAAGTGCTCGTTTCATATCACAGAGATGTCGTTATCATCAGTTTAGAAAATATCGAGATGGAAGTTTCGATCAAACAGATCTACCTACGCTCATTTAATCAATATATAATAGTAATATAATATTATATACATAATGCTAATTTATAGAATTCATAAATTAGCATTATATGATTAATGCTGTTAATTATAACATAGTTATATTTGCTGCATTAATTAATTATTCACGCAAGAAACGTAGGTAACTCTCGAATTCTACATAGCCTACGCACATGATGATAAAACATGTGATAAAATGTAAGAATCAGAAGTAAAGCTACAAGACATAACAACAAATTCCTAGCTTTTGAGCGATTCGCTCTCCATTCGAAAAGTTCATGTCTATGAGAGAAACGGTTTCGATACTGCGTCGGCAATTCGAAAGTACTTCGTAATGGATACAACGAACGATAAAAATCGTTCAACAGAGCACGAACAACTTCGTTCTCGGGACGACGAATTGGATCCATGTCGTCGTTCAAACAAATAAACTTTCTGAAAGTAGTACACAGTTAGTCATTTCAATGTATTAAAAATGAAAATAAAAAATATGTATAATAAAATATAAATACTTGGGATCTTTCCGAATTTCGTCGAGCAATTGCACCGTTAAGGAAACGTTGCTGGTCAACATCTCGAAAATTTCATTTTTACCGGCCTTTATTATTTCATGCGGATACCGGCTGCTCTCGCCGAATTTCGATTGCATCCTTCTAGAAACTGATTCACAGTTCAATATCAATTCTTTAGACACCAGCGGCTGTAAAGAATTAACATTGTGATTTTACTCGTTTAGTATTGCAATTATTGTATAAAATGTTTCACACTTACAAGAGCGGAATCCAAATATCTTTCTCCGAGTGGAACGTCGACAATTTCCGGTAGATTTGCGCGATGAGAACAGTTTGTTATCGCGCTTTCAAACTCCATGACTAGATTATAATCGAGCGGCAATGGGTACAGTCTGGTTAAAAGCGTCCTTATTTCTCTGTCCGACCAAGTTCTGAAAACATCAATGAATTTGTTAATACGGTAATCACAACTTTGCTCATCGCAGATGGTATGTTGTTTCTTACCGTGAATTATCCGTATCGAACATATCGAATATTTCGCCAATGGTTACTTTCCGTTTTTCACTGGTTAAAAAGTAGAAATAAGAGAATGCAAACTGCATATCCTCGGGATCTCTTACTTTATGACTAGACGTTTTCTTAAACTCGGACTTGAATTTCTGCTGCATACTATTCATGACCCATTTGTCTATTAAATGCGGCATATGCGCCGGTACTCTCCTTCGTTCAAGGCCATAAGCAACGTTATATATCTTATTAACATATAATAGAGATTCCGCATAAGTGTCAAGCCCTCGTGTGTTATGTTTCCAATGATTGGAATACGCAAATTTACCTAACTTAACAGAATTACTGGGTTGTGCCAAATTATTATTATGGCTGCGTTTTAATTGTTCAGTACCATTCGCAGTTCTGCTCAAGGGATTTTTACGCAAAAACCTGGAATATGCAGGCTCGAGAATATCCTTCACAGATTTGTAATTCTCTCTGTTGTCAAACTTTACGTACGTCTTATTTCGCACATGTAACCTCATAAAACTACTGTTCTTACGATCGTTCGTCATTCGAAGTGTGTTGATTGGCTTGAACGTGCTGAGATTGTATATATTTAACGTTTGAAGCGTGGATGTTGGTGCATTATGCCATGGTGGATGAGTGTCATTTTTCACGCGTAAGATATTTAACAGTTCCATCCTATTATTATTATTATTTTCATGAGAATCTTGCAGATACTTGTATGGATAATCACCTTCCTCTTCTATTACTTCGCTATCAATAGGGGAAACAGTCGTTTGGCAATCTCCACCTATGTAATCATTGAAACAATACTTTATTAGATGATGCATAAATAATGCAATTATAGTATCGTTGCAAAAAGAATATTTATTTACCATCAAACTCGCATAACGTCGTATTGCAAGCGTGATCGCACGATCCGTCGCCAACCCATGCCCATGGACAAACTTCGGAACAATCGGGAACCCACCACGCCTGATATACTTTTTGTCCACCCGCTTGAGTTATGAAATCTTCCGGCCATATCTCGGCACCCAACATGACGTCGTCGTTAAAATACAAAAACTTATCAGAGATTCCGGGTATTCTGGAAGAATAGAAAAGTATTGAAACATGTCTGTGTACATTATAATTACACGTGATGTGTATTCATATGTATTTCCAAGCACCTATGAATATGACTTTCAATAGCAGGACTAGAAAAAGTTGGTAAATCACTTTTATTCAGAAAGATATCTTCGTGAGTGACTAGAGTCACCCGAGGATTATCCATATCGAGCCAACTCGGTATTTGGCCATTGGTAACGATGTAAACATGCCTCACCCAGGGTGCATACATTTCCAATGATCGCAACGAATAGCGCAACTCGTCCTTATCACTGAATCTGGAAGCTGTGGCACCAAGATCCATGACAGAGACGTGTTTTTGAAGGCTTTCTAAAAATACTGGATCGGATCCATTTACCCAGGTATAAACTACATCTATAGGAACGTGTTGGCACAATTTCTTTTGAAAAGATTTTCCTAAAATATTGTCGTTGAAGGAGTGAAAGACTGCTTCGTATTTTTCTTTGCTCCATGTCAACCATACCTGTGTGAAATCAATAAAAATGAATCAAATATCTAAATATAGAAAGTATTAATGAAATACAATAGCATATATTTAAAAAATAATAAAATTATATAATAAAAGACCTAAACATTTTTAAATATCAAACTTTTACAATAGTTTTATTTTATAATCTTAAAGTTATAAAGTAAGAAGAAATACATATATAATCCTTATACTAACCTCTCCAAAATGTACTATGCCAATAAATATGCAAGTGAATGCTACCAATATCACTAGCAATGAATACTTATGCGAAAGCACGTCATAACACCGTCGCTGTATTAATTTCCATGTGCTCATTATATTCACATAGACGTTAAAAACGATTAACATCGCTGCATCATCTGACAGGTGAAACCATGCACCCAGTGATTCAATGTATGCATTCAGATATCGTGCACATTTATTTAGTGTGTTAAGGGTCGACAAGAGTGATGGCCCGACTCGGATCGCTCGAGTCCGAACTGATTTTGATGACCTCATGCGAGGAAACTATGAAACTCCGGACAAGCTATCGTTCATTGATTGTTAATTAGTTACACTCTGTTTAACGAACGTATTTATTAATATAAACAATTTAAGTAAAGAAACTCAACAATTTTTTAACTTTACTACAAAACTTTGCAAACAAAATGCAATCAATTACAAAAAAAATTTTTTATTTTATAATACATGTCGGCTAGTTACATGGTTCACAATTAAACAAAAATTAATTATGAAGAAACAAACGAAAATAATTGCACAACGATAATCGGACTATTGTATTCCGTCTCAATTCAGTCTCAATTCCGGAGTGCCTCTCCTAGAAGTGTCGCAATAAATATACTAAGTCGCTATATTCACCCTTTGGTCCCAGCAAACACAGAACATAGCAGCAACATTGCAGCAATATTATTGCAATATTGTAACATCTATTAGATGTCTATTAGACGTTTCTTCGACCTGGTGTTCTCCCTGGGTTGGGCGCAAAAAGATGGGTGACCTTGTGGGCAGTATTGCGGTCTTCGGCTGTGTAAAATTTGATTAAACTTTTGTTAAATTTTGCGTGTTACCGCTATTTCAAGTAGCTATTAGCCTTTAGATTTATTTATTTTTTCAAAACTCAATTTTGTTCATTATTTTTCAATTTTGTCCTTTATATTTACAAAATTACAATATTAATTTTTTTTACTTAGCGTTTTAATGTCTAATATCGTACTAGCGTGAGAACTTCTGATAGTCACAAACAGTTATCGGTTTTTTTTTTCTTTTGCTCGCCGATCTCCAGGCAAGTTTCAATTTTGAATATGGAGGTGGTAACTTTGCTCGCAAACTGATTTGGAAACACGTTGAAAAAAAAACCCTAAAATTTTCAGGTTTGTCCTTTATTTTCTTTCAGAAAATATGGTCACCGTATGTATGACTCGTATCAGTGATATGGTATCACAAGCCCCGCCGCCTCACCGACGATTTCAATTTATTAATAGAATTGCTAACATGAATGAAATATGGTCATCAAAAAAGAAAGATTAAAATTTTTTGTCACCTTTAATGAAGATATTTTATTCTTCATGTTGGCAATTCTGTTAACAAATTGAAATCGTCGGTTAACGTTAACCGACGTTGGAAAAAGTGGCCCTAACAAAGTGGTGTAAGATTAGAATTTTTATGTAAAAAATTGAATATATAATATCAATTGTAAAATATTGTGAGTGAGTTTGTGTGATTACATGTGAGTACTCAAACAGAGGGAGTGTTGAGAATATTTATCTTGCTCAGCATGTATTGCTTGTATTATTATATTCAATTATGTACATTATTACAACTCTTACGCGATTATAGGTACACATATTGTTTATGAAATATTTATATGGCGTTCCGATAGTCATCGCTATAATCGACCATGTGACAAAGCATGCCGTGTCTGCATGGTAACGTAGATAACAAGAAGTTCGATTGTTCTATCCCGACCGCCATCCAATGTAGACCGATTTATTCTGTATTTATTCTCGAAAGTTCCTCTTAATAAATTGTGTTAAATAGTTCTATCTAATCACGAGTTTACTAATTTATTAAAGCATATCTAATCGCAACCTTTCAACAATTTTATTAGTTTGTCCAAATGTACAATATTCACTATACATTATATTATGCGCGAAATAACAGTTTGTCTATACTCTTACCTTCAGGAATACGCTTGATATGCGTTAAGCATTGAGTTATGATAATGAAAATCGCAATATTATCATTTTTCCTTGACATACGATGTCATACTTAATAAATATTTAAATTGATAACATTTTTTTTTAATTTCATCCAACTTTTGAATTTGTCTGGTAATCTAGTACACTGTATTATTTATATTATATACGAAATCAAAGCTCTTAAAAGAGTGGCATAGATAGAAAACTACGTATTAGGAAAGCTTAACCCTTTCTAAATTAGCCTGTATAAAATATCCCACGATATTAGAATTAAAATGCGAATATACACAAAAAATATATCTTTACTACTTTATTCTTCGTATTAACTTGTTAGGTATACCGGAATAAATTTATTACTCCCGTAGATAAAAATGAAATAATAAAATTTATTTGTCCAATTGCGAGATTATTATAAAAGTATATTAATTGGCAAAAATAATTCTGTTATAATATTGTTAATGATTAATAAGGCAATAAAGTATAGGTCCTCAGTTAGTCATTCATCATTTAAAGAATATTCCATTAAAGTCAGTCTTTACAAGTATAATATCATGTATTAAAAAACTTTGATTATTTATATTGTACTATGTAAAGTTTAGTTGTTTCACGTATATCATAACACGAATGGACCCCGATATAATTAGTCTAAATACTTGAAAGTGATTTTACCTTAATAAATTTATTTTAATATCAAAAAGCTCGAAGCGGAAGGATTGAATCACAATAATACGAAACATAACTTTAATGAAGAATTTGTAGCTTAATTTTCTTAATATACCATTAATTTTGCATCTACAATTATCTAAAACAATATACTTTGTCAGTGCAATTTTCATTTCCGATATCGACGAGTTTTGAATATGTCGAGTACTTGCTTACTTAAAGTAAGATAATATGTATCAATTATAAATTAAGGATTGAAACAATCTTATAAATTCAATAATTATTAGCAAAAACGTGAAATATATGAAAAATATCTTGATATATTGTTTAAAATTGTCACATTTTTTTCTCAAAACTTTTCCTTCCCTCTCATTAATATTGGATTTAATTACTATATTAGTACTTAAAATTACTATATTAGTACAGAAAATAATCTTCCAGATAAAATTGAAAGAGTTATATCCTCTTTCAAGAGTATTTCTTTTCACAATATTTCTGACATCACCGACCGGCGTATTTGATCATTCCAAATAAAACTAATAAACTGAATATTTTGCTTAATTTGTGCATCCAATATAATCTGCAATACATTAATAATCAATTTATTCTCACAAATTATTATAGACATAATAGTCATGAAATTAAGAGACTTACCTCGATAAGCGATTTCGAGCATTGTTTAATGTATCTGGATTGTCTTTCAAAATGTACTTTCTGATTCCTAACATGTACTGATGCAAGTATGTGTTCCAATCCAAATTTCTGATATCTAAGTCAAAATTCTTACAATCCCCCGATATCTCTACAAATTTTACTAGCTTCGTCATATTATCCACGTAAAATTTCCACTCATTTGTCGCGAAAAACTCGCCGGTTTTCGCGGCGCTCTCGAATCGCTTAGTGATTTTCATCATTCTAGAAAGAAACGACGGGTCAGTGCAATTATAAAAAATAATCATGTGGTTAAAAAAATACTCACATAGGCTTGTCGCCTCGCATTCTCAATATAAGATCTACGATGAACGCAGGTAAAAAATGCAACGTAGCTACTATGATAGTATGAATAAATTTGTTTGTCCTAAACGTGAAATCTGGATACCACATCATATATTTGGACGGTGATTCTATAGCATGCTTTGTCACAAGATTTCCGAATTCACGCCATCTGAAAGAATCACATTTCTTTTAATTGTTTTATCACGGCGTCTATTGCAATTTGCTTGTTTCTCACGAATACTCACGTGATAGGGTGTATCGTACTACTGGTACAATTGTAAATGTTGATTGTATCGGTGCGTTGCACAACGTTATGCCAAGACGCGCATATTAGCGTATCGACAACATAGTCAACAGGTACAACGTCTACTATTAAATTTGCGTTACACACGAGGCTTCTAACAGTGCCCCGACTTATTTCCGTCATTATACCTATTAAATAATAATAAAGATATGACACCTATACCTATTAAATAATGAAGTATCACACTTGTACGTAGATATATCTACGTACATACATTGAAGTGAATTATTCATTTAGTAACGCGACTGATCGACACTATGCCATTTTTATAAAATTTAAAACTCTTTCTTCAGAAATACTCATGTTCCATTGTAATAATGCATTATACTTAGTAATATTCTTTAACCTTTGACAAAGTTCAGTATCTGTTACAACAGTTGTGTTATAAGCAGACTTATATGTGTATCTCTATATATTTATAATTTTTCTTAAAAAAGCGAAACTCGTGTTTTATTTAATAAACTTAATTTCTTAATTGTAATGTCGTTTCTCTAAATTGCAAATAAACTCGAGCTCTGTTAACTACAATCGTACCTGTAATGCCGCAAGTATTGTCTATCCAACCTGGAAATGGTTCTCGATATGCAGCGCAGATTATACTCGGTCGTACGATCGCGATCGGTAAATCATGTCCTTTGGACAATACAATTTGCTCCGCCAAACCTTTAGTCAACGTGTAAGTATTCGGATGCTTGCCGACAAGTCTTTTCTCAATTATTTCTATCGTTTCGTCGTCCAGATTTTCACATATGTCAATCACCGTGTACGGCTTCACTTCTGTGCTGTAATATGAGTGATATGCGATTGAGAACATTTTTAGAGCCGCCAAGTTTTCTTTAAACTTTTCGTCAAACATTGAATTCAATTTTGTAGAATAAAGAAAAATAAGTACGTGTAAAAAAAGATACTCGGCAACTTAAATATCATGGTAGAAATATCACGATGAGCGGAAAATAGACATTATTGAATGCTTATAGCCAACACGTTTTCTCTTTTGCCGTCGGGTATCTAACATTACACTTCTAAGGCAAAGCGCTCATATCTATGACCCGTATAATTTCCATATACAAAGTGTCTCAGACCAACCGTATCACCCGATAAAAGTAGATTCCTGAGATTATTTAAAGATGAAAATCTTTATACCAAAATGTCGAGGCTACAGTAATTTTTAAATGTAAAGTGCTTAAAATTGACATTTTGGTATAAAAATTTTTGTTTTGAAATGATCTGAAAAATTTGCTACCGAATGATACCCGGTTGGATCGGGACATTTTGTATAACAACAAATATATCTTGTCGATTTCAACACGATATTTTGAAAAATCAATAATAACAAAATCGTGAAATAGATTATTTTCGCAAAGAATTAATCGATTATTTTCCAAGGTTTGTCCGTATATTGTTTAAAATTATGTATAATCAGAGGCTTACGTGTATATCGATTCTTCAATTTCTCGTCGATCGGCATTACTGTAGGCCGTGCTAATGTGTATGATGCTGATAAGATTTGCCATGCGTCTGCACAAATCCAGCATACGATCCGTGCCCCTTGTGTTCAGATTGACGGCTATTTTCAGAGATTCGTTAAAACGCACAGTGGCCGCGCCGTGAAAAACAATGTTAACTCTCTGTATTAACATATCCTTATCTTGCGGCTCGAGTCCCAGCTCCGGCATACCGACATCACCCTTCACAGGATAAACCTTGTTTAAAGCGCCGGGGAATTCCGATCGAATTCTGTCGAAAATCTGCGATAGAGAAAGCATCGTTTGACTCGTGAAAAAAATTAATGAGTAGCAATCGTGCAGAGAAATGTCGAGTAACTTCTCGACTCACAGCATTCGCAGACAGCATAATCATAAGAACGATAATAATCGCGACATTCTGCTGTACATTTTGATGACTTTGTTTGACACTTTACGTATAAGCGTATTGCAGATGAAATATTTAAAGCGTCCTACAGAGAGTAATACCGCCCGAATCGATATTACATTAATTTAATACATACGTATACTATTACGTCTATAAGAAATGTCAATCTGCGCACAAATGCGATAAAATTAAATTTGTAGAAAAGTAGAAGGTTTTCTTACTGGATTCTCTAGGAGCTCCTTGTAGCGTTCCTCGATGGTTTGACCTCTTTTTGGACGGATCAAGATGAAAATCGTTGCAACACGTGGACACGCGCGCAGTAGCTTCTCCAAGAGGGCTTTTCCTAGGAAACCAGTAGCGCCGGTTAGAAGGATCACTGTCTCGGCGAAGAATGCGTCGAGCGAAATTCCTGTCGAGTGAACCTCGTCGGGTGTGTGTTCCGAATTGGTCTGTGTGCTTGTCGTCCCCATTTTGATATGTTTCAAACTTTATACAGTGCCTATATATAAAAATATATCAACATTAGAAAAAAAATCGGCGCATTTCTGTCACTTTATAACATAATAAAACACGATAATTATTTTTTGAAAATGTAAAAATCTTTTTTTATTTAGTGCTTAATTAAACAATGAGTGCTATGCTTTCTTTGCATAAATAAAAAAGTACAAACAAAAATGTACCGCATAAAAGTGGAACAGAATTAATTTTTTGACAAAAAGCTTTACTTCAGTTTTATTCGGGTCAGCAACTTATCAGAGAGGGATTTCCAAAATGACGGAATGAGTAAAATTGTATAAAATTCGCACACAATGCTCTTGCACGATTTGGCCCTTGCATGCTTCCACGTGCAGGCAAGATTTATACAGTGATTACAATTGTATCCTTGACCCGGAGCTTCGTAACTTCTGCCGCGTGTATTCTCAAAATCAATACAGCCGTGGTGACGGTCATCAACCGACGTCGGAAAAAGCGCTTATTAATTTTTCACGCGCGAATACGGTTTCGATGTATAGTTTCGAGCGGAATGTTATGTGTGTCGCCTGCGAGCCTACTTTGCTTCACGTTCTTTACACAGTGAGGACGGTGTTAAATAATGCGACTGATGTTATCTAAAAAACTATTATGAATATGGTAATATAGTAAAGAGAAAATCTTATTTTATTTAAAATAGACATTTTTCCAGTATTGATACGATAAATATGGATTAAAAGGTAAATTGATAAATCGAAAAATAAAGCAAAATCCTTGAAGAGACATTTTCGACCAAAATTCCTCGAAGTTCCGATAAAATTCTTTGAAATCTGCTGATTTTTTTAGAAAAAATTCTCTGAAATTTTCAGGTTTTCCAGATAATGTGGATGTAGCTTGCACAGAGCTTGTTAGAGCCTTTATAGATTACTGATATCGTCAAAAAGTCTTATTGTTTTAGCAGCATTAATTATAAAAGATAATTAGCAAAATTTCAAATTAGGAAATTACAGTATCTGTTATTTAAATAATCTACAACATAAATCGATTTAAAGGATCACATTAATTTATGTAAATATTCGTCCAAATAATTAAACAGTCGTTAAACAGAAGATACAATATAGGCTCTTCTATTATTCAATAATAATTAAAAAAAAAACAAAGCTATGAAAGCCAGAGCTGATTATTAATGCTCAATTTTTTTATTTTAGTATTTTACCTATCTATACGTTTCAGCCATCGTTGTTGTCTGTTTGTTGAATTAATATCGTAGTGATGCACTTTGATGATGTTCTTCTACGATATTAATTCAACAGACAGACAATATTACTGCAAAAAATATTACTGAGGAATCAGAAAACGTTATCTTTTATTTACGAAAATGAATAAAAAAATCATAATAAGCGTGTATAATTAATTTTTTGAATATTATGCGTTAAATTAAATTGTATACAAAAATTATAAGATATTTATATTAATTTACATTATACTGAAGAAGACCGAAGGAAGGCCGAAACGTATAGATAGGTAAAATACTAAAATAAAAAAATTGAGCATTAATATCCAACTCTGGCTTTCATAGCTTTTGTTATTATTCAATTATTATTGAATAATCATTAAACATTCATCCAACGATCGATTTCCGGAACATTACTGTAGTACAATTAACAAATAATTATTCTATCAAGGCCAAGTTTACGTTAGACACTTATCGCTTTGATTATTTCTTTGCTTGATGCAAAAAGATAATTTATTTTATAGTTACGCTTTTATAAGCGATATTATTATAAGCAGCGGTTCGCGATGAACTCTTATCACCAGTTATCGGAAACGGTGCACTGACCTAATCCATACTGGATAGGAAACGAATTAAGACGTAGAGGAAATTAAAAGACGTAACGAATTATGCCATTAGCACGGATACTACAAACTCCCATATGTAACCTGACGCAAAGACGCGTGAAAAATAGTTCTAGTTTAAAATAAATAATGATAATAAAAAATTTATATTAAAATAGTAATAAAAACATTATTAAGACTTTCGTATTGCAACTATGTTGAGTTCTAATGTCACAAGCAAAAAATAATTTAAAAATTTTCTTGAATCTTACATAAAAATAATTTAGTTTTTTTCACATGTTACTATTTGCATCAAATGCAAATTTCAGTATAATAATTAATAATGTTTTTATTATTGTTTTAACATCAACTTTTTATTACGTAAAAATTATATTGAAAATTCTTTCTAATTCATTAAATGTCCGTTACTGAATGTATAAATCTATACAAGTGTTCTCTCTATGTTTTCAATAACAATAGATCTTATAATTGTCAATTAAAATTTGCAGATGTTAACTCACGAAAAAGAAAATTTCCATATATTAACAATCTATACTATCGAGGGTGAGTGCTGCTATGTAAAAATTAAGTTATTTTGGTTAACAATTAACGTCGACCTCGTTTAATATAAAAACCATAACAAGCTCTACGACTGTCACGGATTTTTACATAAATTATTTTTATTGTCAAGAATACTTAAAATGTCGATGACAAACTGAAACTTTATTAAGCAATATTTTTTAGCTGTTTTCTAGCCATGACGCTGATTGTGTTATAATTAAAATTTATAATCTGAAAAAACACTGAAAAATCTGAAAAAACTGATTTTTTGGTGCCAGTGATTTAACAAACAAATTTACATTTATCTTTGCGTTTTCATTAAATCTTTTTGCATCACTGTGCGTTGTCATATGTGGTACAATTGAGAAAGCGGTCGATTGACTTATGCGCTCCAGATATCGATCGGTCAGTCGTACGAGAAGTTACACTTTTTACGTATGCGTGCGTGCGTAAATGCCAATATAGATATACGGATTTACGTATGCAAAGTGAAATTTTATCCTTTTAAGGCATTCTCATACTGAACGATACAAAAGTTGTTTACTAGCACGCAAAAAAAAAGAAAAAAAAAGAAAGCACTTACTGGAAAAAAAGAAAAGACTAAGTTTTTTTGTTTTTTTTTTTTTAATTGTAAGTCAAAAAGATAATATTCACTGATATAATTACGTGCCTTTATTATTGTGCCTTTATTATCATTTCTGTTAAATAAATTTCGTAAATTGACAGCTTATTTTTGTTGAAATTAAACGCGTGTAACATGCAATTACATTTTGTCGATGAAGAATATTAATTTCAAATCGTGGAATAATATAATTTTTTATTTGACGCGTCGTAAAGCGTACGAGAATTCTCGTCACACAATTTCGTTGCGATTTTATCTTATCGCGGTTATACGCGTTGTAATAGTTTAACGAGATTCATGAATCGTAGTGCGATACGAGGACATGATGAGAGAGTGCGAGTATTTCGAGGATATAAAAATGCGTAAAGTCGCCATATAATCGCATTTTTTTCGATATATATCGTTAATATATTAAAACATCGTTTTTGAAATCAAAATGACGTGCGCCTCAATATTTTCTTTCTTTCCATCTCTCTTTTTTCTCTGTTTTTTTTTTAATCCTATTGCATTAAGTTTATAAATGTATTTTTTTTACCTACGTAAAAGTATCGCAAATTTCTAGCGACCTGAGTAAAACATGTCCTCGCGCATCATTACCACTTTGGCGAGTCTAATTTTCGGTGCCGGTAAACGCGCGTCGCGAACATCTCGCTCTCAATCGTGCTGGCCGACGAAAAATCGCACTGCCGGCACTGATTCGCCGGAACAAAGTCGATTTCCGAAAATCGCTCGTACATACTTTAACTTGTTGCATGCAAGAGTAAGAAAGTACCCGCCTGCATTCTCTTCACACCGAGTTTCGCCGCGTCGTGTTTCACATATGATGTTGGGCCTCGATCGACCACCTCACCTCCCTGCTGGAGCGAACTGACTTGACAAAAGGAACGAGACGTACTGGCTTGAATTCAGCACGACGAACGTCGCTATCGTTCAGCCATAACCCATGAACGCGCGTTATATGCTACACATTGCTATTGCTCGTATACCTGTGCACAGCAGATGACAGAAATTGCATATGTGTAGAAGCCAGTAACGCATGCGTAAAAGTTGTCGGAGGATCGAGGGTGAGAATTCGCGGCTCGACTGAGGCCAGAAAATCGATCCGATTGCGGTCCAAACTATTTCGTCGTTGTTCACACAGATTACGTTGCTCGCGCATTGTCTGGCAAATATCGCCGCAAAACTGGAGATTGTCAAAAGAGTAGATTTTTAATCCAAGACTTGGAAATTATTCATCTTTTCCCTTTTATTTTTGAAATTTCAAAAATAAATTCCTAAGAAATTTTTTCGAGATATAAAAAAATAACGAAGCTGCAGGCTGCATTGTATTTGAATTCGAGACTTTAAAACAAAAAATATTAAACTAATCAATTTTTTTCTATACAAAATATACAACTATTTAGGCATCAGTGATGGTCGTTGTATTACATTTATCGCAAGTACGTTACCTGCAAAAATAGCTTTTTTTTTAATTGTTTTTTAAATCGGAAGAATAATCTTGTGTGCTTAATAATAGTTAAAAGCCACTCTAAAGCTAAGTTTCTTCATTGTTGAGTTTTCTGTTGTGTACAGTCTAACAATATAAATGTTGAATTATGCGACAGTATTTCAAGCAACAAGTTTCTATGTGTAATACATATACACGGAAAAAAAGAATTTTACTATCGCAACAAAATCGTCGTTGCTATTGCATATTAGATGTGATAGCGACAAAGCTTTGCTACCACGCCGTGCCAGTAAATTTTTTTTCCGTGCAACATTGTTATATAACGTCCGTAAAGAAATTATAATATTTATCTCTTTAATAAAAAAAAAAAAATCACAAAACTGCTCTCGTGAGTTGCCTTCATTTTTGTTAAATAAACGTGTTACAATTACTGTGCGGTCCGTTACACAACAATATTTGTACATAATCAGACGTATTACGTGAACAAACTTTTTGCTCGAAATACTATCGGTAATTTTCATGTTGTTGAGCACTAAAACTAGTAGAAAATCCAACAGTGCAGAAATTTAGCTTCAATCTGTTAATATATGTTAGTGATATTGAAAAAAAGCCGTAGGAATAAACTGATGAAGCTGTTGGTGCCGGGTAAAAATAACAGCATTTCGGACGAAACGCGTGACAAAGTTGCTTCGAAGATACAATCCGCTTAACACTTTAGATACGAATCGTCGGCGTGTATTTAATAGAACCTGTAATTAAATCTTTTGCAGGCAGCTGTTGCCTTAAACTCGATTGTAACTCGAATCTTCGTTTTATACGCTCGACGAACTTATTTGCCGACAACATCCGCTTGTTTCCATCATGAGAAAACGATTTTACCGTGCCGACTGCATTGAACATTCACGCCTATCTACACACCGATAACAATGCTCTACGACAGTGAATCCAAAGAATTCCGAAAGTCGCTTATCGCGTTTTAGCTCGTTTCATACAAGAATAAAAAATTGTACACCGGACACGTCTGCATTCCTGCGACTGCAGCGGAGATGAGAAAGCGCGAAAAAGAGGGAGACAGACAGAGAGAAAGAGACACACTTTCCATCTGCAACAAGAAGATTGTGAAACAAGCCGCTCCCGGAGAAAAGAAGTGTGCAAGAGCATACACGAACAAACACGGAAGAACTTTCTTCGGCTGCATTCATGCAACGCGCAATGCTCACCTGCGTCGGATTGCCGCATAAACGTTATGAACCGGCTTCGGTAACTCGACATGTGCGTTGCCACCACCGTAACTTCCGCAACTGAAACGCGAACCTCATATACCCACCTTATAAAATCTTGTTTGCTTGCCAAAGCCATCCCTACCACCACTATAATTTGTTATTCATCAGGCCCCGCAAAAACCTGTTATGTATGTTTTACAATATTTGAAAATATTCAATTATTTGCAGTTTTTAGCTCCATTTATAATCTACTTGCGATGTAACAAACAATACTTAATCGCCAAAATCTTGTTAACTGTAATGTACTTTATTTAAAAATACTTTATTTGGAAAACAAAAACTTTTCTAACACGTCGCACATCATAGTCTCAAAATTGTGACGTATAGACAGTGCCGGATCTACACATAAGCTAGATAAGCTACAGCTTAGGGCCTCACATTATAAAGGGGCCTCCTTAGTATAGAAAAGATTTAAAAAAATGTATTTTTTGTTAATAAGATGGGGGCCTCCTTGAAGGTCATAGCTTAGGAGCCATAAAATCGTACACCGACCCTGCGTACAGACAATTTTTAAAACCGGTATTGGATTTAGCATAAAAAAATCTATGAAAGAAGATACTTACTTTGCATTCTTGTGTCAGAAAAAAAGCTGTTTTTATAAAACTGCATTAAAAGAAGATATTAATCTTGCATTCTTGTGTCAAAAAAAAAAGCTATTTTTGTAGAACTGTAAATCACTAATTATTTGATTGATTAAACACTGCTTAATCTTATAGTCTATAACTTGTTATGAAAATCTTTTATTATGTAACTTATAAAAAAATTTTGTTGCGATGATTTTGGGTATACGTATTCACTTAGCAGAATACTAAAAAAGTAGTTGGGTATACATAATAACAGAATATTAACAAAAAGAAAACTGAATCATCTCAGAATTTATTGAAATAAAGGATTCTACCAACAAAGATTATAGGTGAAGGATTATATCAAATAAAACTTGGTAAAAAATATTGAAACACTCAATGTGTTTGTACAATTAAAAAAATAGGTTAAACTTATTGACTAATAGGTACAATATCGAATTTAATGACGAATTTTTACTAATCATTACAAATGAAAATTTTAATAACAATGTTTAAATATAAAACAAACTTATAAATCATGTGTGTTTTATGTTGAAGCGTTTATTAGTATAATTAGCAAGTACCACGTGTTACGAATTTACAACGTAATTGATAAAGAGATAAGAAAGATATAAAGAAACTTTATACACAATAATGTGTTATACACAATTAGTATGCTCCATTTTTAAACATAATCTCAAAAAAATTTTTTGCAATTATTTTTTAATTGAAATCTATTTGTATTTTTACTCGATAACAAAATGCGTTAGTCATTTCAATAGCAGCCTACTGCGTTATTATCTGATTTATCAATAAAAATCTCCAAAAGAGTCAGCGTGATTATTCAAATCTATGCTCTGGATATCGTTCCGATAATATGGAGGGATCATTAGACCATCTGTCCGAATTTGATAACTATTACGGTATATGTATAACTTTGTAGATAAGTGCGAACAATATTGTTTCTCTTTTTCTAATTTCCTTTATTTGCAAAGGTTGCTTGAATCACTTGCTTATTAGCGATCACAATTTCTGTAGCAAACTTTCATTCATTAAATGAGCCGCTCAAAAAGCCAAACTGACTAACTCCATCAAACAAAAAGTAGAAAGAAAATTGATAAACTTATAAACACTGTTTTTTCACATTTCGTTTGAAATATATACACAAACAAATATTGTAGAATATATTATTAAACATGAAGCTTTTATATTACAATGTAGAAAATATATAAAAATAAATATATCTCTCGAGAATAATTGTTCATGTATTTACCAATTTTGCTTGAACTTGGGAAGTTAATCGACTTGGCAACTAAAAATCTGAAAATTACAGCAAAAATGAATACCATTGAATTTAACTATTAAAAACTATCATAATATTATTTATTATAAGAAAACCAATTATAGCATTATTTATTACAAAACTTTAAATAAAAAATCAATATAGCCGTTCTATTCTTACTATTATTGTCATTAGATTCTATTATTAGCGCTGTGATGAAGGGGATATCGAGCCAATGCCAGTTGTAATAAGTTAAAATTGCTTTGTATAATCTTCTATATTTAATCTTTGTATAATCTATATTTAATCTTTTAACCTGCTAACAGGTTAAAAGATTAAATAACCTGTTTGACTATTCGCAGTCATTTGCTGTCTTGCTAACCATTAATATCTAGTTATAATAATTACAATCTCAGAGTATTGACCTCAACTACATTCTTTTGTATTAGACGAAAATTACTTTATATTTCATTTTTCACTGAAGATGGTCAGATGCTGACAAAAACGTTTGTTAATGGTTAAAAGATTAAATATAGAAGATTATACAAAGCAATTACAATCAGCATTGGCTCGATATTCCCTTCATCACAGCATTGATATTTTATTGAAATTTATCACGTCTTTTCTCTTTTCTTTTGTCACAATTCTACTATTAGGATATAACAAAAGCTGGTCTATATTTTTTAGAACTAACATTTCTATTTGTTGCAATATTTTTATTTGTTATAATATTTTCATTCCTGGTAAAAATAAATATGTATATCAAAAATGATCAAAAGTTGACACAAATGGAAAGATATAAATAAATCATTTTAAAATATATAATAAATTTCGACAAATTATCAGGGATTGTTTGAATCAGACGACGAATCTGAAGAAATATGAAATTTCCATGAACCAATATTTCTAACATTTATTATAAATTAAAGATTTATCTGTTTAATCAGATGAAGAATTACTATCTAATTTATCATTTTGCATATCAAAAGTATTATTTATCATTTTACAAATTAGAAAGTTAATTGAGAAAAAAATTATTGTTAATGGAACTAATCTCACAGTGCCTTCTGAAGTAGATTATATATTATTCATTAGCAATAAAATATTTTTTTTCAAAATAGAATCATCAAGATAATTTATTTTATTTATTAGAC